ATTAATAGAATAATGAATAGATAGATAGAAAAAATTGATGGAAAGTAATGAATATAGCACATCTGAGTTCTATTCATACTGTATAGAATACTTTTATAGATACTTTTTATAGATACTTTTCTAACAGTCGAGTAGTAGGGGTAGAAGGCGATTTCGGACACATCCTTTGATGAAACTGATTGGAATTGATTAGGAAAGCCACAAACCTATATAAGACCTTACAGCTCACAGTGCATGTCAGAGCAAACGAGAATCATGAGGTCAAAGGAATTGCATGAGAGCATCCAGACCCACTCTATAAGCTAAACCTAATAGAAAGGGTGTTATTTATGACACATGGGCAGAAAAAGTGTGTTTAAATAATTTATAAAATCATTCTTAAATTATTAATCAGTATATCATCTATAGATAAAGGCAGAAATGCCCATGAAAATCTCTGGTGGTCCATTTTTACCCTTTTAAGTTTAAGTCAATATTAAATGCCATTGGCAGGCCATTTTACTCACATGATCTCACATTTCTGAGCAACAGAACCATCAAATGTAAATTCTCAACGCTTTTGCAGGTAAATTTGGCACTGTAACCAAATAGTTTCAAATGACTAGTGCCAAAGAAACTCTGCACTCATATACACATAATTTATTAAATAGATCACAGGAGAAAAAAAAATCTAATGTTTTGACAGTGAGCCTTCATCAGTGGAATGATTCTTTAATTCTTTCTGTTTTTTTAATAAACGTAAAAATAAACTTGCACTCTAGTTGTTCGCTGTTTGTTCAAACTAGGTATTTAAAATTTAAAGCAACACAATTCTTAAGTTTTTTGGGGGACAACCTAATTGTTTTATGTTCAATCTACTTAAATTAGTAAAAACAAATAAGTTAACTGGATTCCTTCATGTTGCCTAAGCACAATTTGATTGAGTGGAAAGCAGATTTTTTTTTTTTTTTTTTTTACAGTTTATTGCGTTATTGGCATATATGTAAACTGGGACAATAGTTGTTTTACTCAGACTTCTTTTGTTATCAAATGGTTGTGTATGTACTGTAAATACACTCGCCGGCCAATTTAGTAGGTGCACCTTACTACTACATGGTTGGACACCCTTTTGCCTTCAAAACTGCCTTAATCCTTCGTGGCATGTATTCAACAAGGTACTGGAAACATTCCTCAGAGATTTTGGTCCATATTAACATGATAGCATCACGCAGTTGCTGCAGATTTGTCAGCTGCACATCTATGATGGGAATCTCCCGTTCCTCCACATCCCAAAAGTGCTCTATTGGATTGAGATCTGGTGACTTTGAAGGCCATTTGAGTACAGTGAACTCATTGTCATGTTCTGAGATGATTCACGCTTAATGACATGGCACATTGTGCTGGAAGTAGCCATCAGAAGATAAGAGGATGGACATGGTCAGCAACAATACTCAGATAGGCTGTGGCGTTGACATGATGCTCAATTGGTATTAATGGGCCAAAGTGTGCCAAGAAAATATATCCCACACCATTACACCACCACCATCAGCAGCTTTAACTGTTGAAACAAGACTGGATGGATCCATGCCTTCATACTGTTCAAAACAAATTCTACCATCCGAAATGTTGTAGCGGAAATCGAGACTCATCAGAGCAGGCAACGTTTTTCCAATCTTCTATTGTCCCATTTTGCTGAGCCTGTTTGAATTGTAGCCTTAGTTTCCTGTTCTTAGCTGACAGGAATGGCACCCGGTGTAGTCTTCTGCTGCAGTAGCCCATCTGGCTCAAGGTTTTATGTGTTGTGCATTCAGAGATGTTCTTTTGCATTTCTTGGTTGTAACGAGTTATTTGAGTTACTGTTGCCTTTCTGTCAGCTGAAACCAGTCTGGCCATTCTCCTCTGACCTCTGGCATCAACACGAAATTGGTGCCCACAGAACTGCCATTAACTGGATATTTTCTCTTTTTCTGACTATTCTTTGTAAACTCTAGAGATAGTTGTGCCTGAAAATCCAAGTAGATCAGCAGTTTCTGAAATACTCAAACCAACCCGCCTGCCACCAACAACCATACCACGTTCAAAGTTACTTAAAACCCCTCTTTTCTCCATTCTTGGTTTGAACTGCCGTTGATCGACTTGACCATGTCTACATGCCTAAATGCAGTTGCTTGCCATGTGATTGGCTGATTAGAAATCTGTGTTAACGAGCAGTTGGAAAGGTGTACCTAATAAAGTGGCCAGTAAGTGTATGTTTAATAATGAACTGAACTGATATTTGAAAGCTTAAATGTTGGTAATAATACTATATATCTAATAAATGCCATTGTTTTTTTTTCCAGCACTTTTTAAAAGATTCTGCATAAACATTCAGTGTCCACACTGCAGTTAATTGGGTATTTGATTGAATTTCAAATTGGAGTTTAGTGCAGTTTTGCTTATTCTTAACTAGCACCAGCAGAGGAAATGGAAATGATGCAAAACTTGTACAAAGATGCCAACATCTGAGCTGACCTGGAAATAGTAATTTTTTTTTTACACATTACAGGAGAAGGGTATTGTACTGGAGTCAAGTAATTGTCCAGACTGCATCTTCAGGGCTGATAATACCCAGGCAAAGGTCTTCATAAATTACCTGCTGCACAGCCATTTACCCTCATTTCAGAGAGCTCAGCTGGCTGTGTATTATTATGATCCTTTTCCAATTTCAGATCCCCCTTCCCCCACACCTTTTTTATGGCATGACACTGCATGTGAATCGGGTTAAAAAAGGAAATATAGTCATCATCATACTTCCAAAGCTGCTAATATGGATGAATGGAGCATTGTTTCATTAAATATGCAGTCATTTTTACACCAAAAAATTGAATTTTTTTGTTTTTGAAAATTGGTTTACAGATGAGATTTAGGGTATTTCTGTATCACATCCAGAAAATACTGTGAACACAGAAACTGAATATATTTCCACTTGTGCTTGTGGAATAAATTGCTGTATGTAAATTATGTATGAAAAAAATCTCTCTGTAAAACCTTCAGACATAAATAAAAGTAAATTTGACATTTTCTGAAAACAGTCTTTAATTTTTTTATTATTATTTTGTATTTTAATAAAAATCTACAGACACAAACTACAAAAATGCTATAAAAGAAACCATTAAAAGTTCATTTTGGATATTTAATTTCCAGTAGACCAAAAAATATCTGTCTTTTTTTAAAGCCAAAATGTCAAATTCTTAAAACTGAGACAGGTGTTTGCTTGTTTTTTTTCTTTTGTTTTGTTGTTGTTGTTGTTTTTTTTTTTCTGTAGTATCTAAAACTAAGTTAAATAGGCTTATTTTACAACTTTCCTAGGGGTTAAACAGTTGAGTTTTACTATTTTTACATCCATTCAACCAATCTCTGGGTCTGGCAGGAGCACTTTTAATTAGCTTAGCAAATCATAAATCATTGAATCGGATTAGACCATTAGCACCTCTCTCAATATGACTGAAGAGTTTTGATAGTTTTCTTATTTAAAGCATATCTCTTTTGTAGTTATATTGTGTACTGAGACCAACAAAAAAATTAACAGTTGCTATTTTCTAGGCTGATATGGCTAAAAACTATACTTTTTTAGGGCATGAGACTCCATGTGAAGAGAACTGTAGTTATCATCATACTTTCAAAGCTGAAAATATGCCAATCAAGCATTAGTTCATTAAATGTATGCAGCCATTTTTTTTACACCAAAAAAAAACTTCGAAATTCAAATCTATTTCAAATTTTTGTTTGTTTGTTTGTTTTCTTTGTAGAGGGCATTTAGGGGATTTATATTTATCACTCCTAAAGTTAAACAGTTGAGTTTTGCTATTTTTAAATCCATTCAACCAATCTCTGGGTCTGATGGGAGCACTTTTAGCTTAGCTTAGCATCAATTATTGAATCGCATAAGACCATTTGCACCTCTATCAAAATGACCGAAGTTTTGATAACTTTCTTATTTAAAACTTGTCCCTTCTGTAGTTACAATGTGTACTGAGACCAACAAAAAAAAAAGTTGCCATTTTCTAGGCCAATATGGCTAAGAACTATACTCTCATTCCAGCGTAGTAATCAACAGACATTGCTGCATACCGTGGCTGCAGCATGCACAATTATTTATTTGAATAGAAAAAAAGCTGTTTAACTCTAACACCCAGGAGCACCGCTAGGGCTGGGGGGAAGTTATAACAGTTCTAAGGGCCCATGCCATTTTGTGGCCCCCTGGAGTTACTATTAGGGGCCCCAAATCAAAATCATCCACCCCCTGACACCCGCTCTTCACTTTAGTCCACAACAAAGCCATTAACCAACCTCTGCTCTACCTCCATTCCACCAATTACCCTCCACCCCCCTACTAGCTAATCAGTTTCGTCCTTGATAACCAATAACCAATGATATGTCCTGTCAAAAACAGGGCAAATACAGTGCAAAGCTAAACGTGTGTGTGTGTGTGTGTGACTCATCATTGCAGAAAGGCTTGAATTAACTCCACAACAAGTGTATTAAACAACAGTTGGGGAAGTTCTTACTGTAGTAAGAGAGATGTGCTTAATTCTTGTCTGTCACTGTGCTGTTTATCTACGTGAAGGCTACAGAGAACACATGCTCATGGGAACAGTGGGCGGGGAGAACCAGCTCATTTGCATTAAGGGTACAGGCAACAAAACAGCTACAATGTCCAAACAGCTCAAATTTTACAGATTTAAAAAGGTATAATAAATAATCTGATGGGTGTTTTGAGCTGAAACCTTACAGACAATCTGGAGACACAAAAGACTTAAATCTTGAAAATGGGGTAAAATAGGTGCCCTTTAATAGATGTAAACTTATACATACATATATATATATATATATATATATATATAAATCCAGGCCTCACTCACTATTCTTCGGTTTAGTTTCTGATTAATCACAGTGGAATGATCCACCAGTTATTCTGGCATTTGTTTTATGTGGCAGATGCCCTTCCACAGTCCAGGCCAAAGTTCTTTTTTTTTTTTCAGCCAGTCTCAGAGGAGTACCAAAACGGAGAAGGCTTTGGCTACATCGTGGCGTTTCGGGTCAACGGCACACGTGGATGGAAAGAGAAGATGGTGACGTCTGCAGATTCCACCACATACAAATACAGAGATGAGACATTCCCCCCTCTGACCCCGTTTGAGGTGCGGGTTGGGGTTTATAACAACAAAGGCGACGGGCCCTTCAGTGAAGTGGTCACTGTGTTCTCTGCGGAGGGAGGTGAGGGTCACATAACACTGATGTTGACTGATGAGATTTATTGCTTATAGTTTATATTGATTTATAGTCTTATATAACTCCAATAACTCACAGCCCAAGTACAGATGGAGTATCTGGAACTCTGAAATATGGATAACCCAGGGCACTGGATGGATGTGCGGTGCAATAGTGTGCACATGTTTTGAGATGCAGTCGCTATAGTGAAATTAAAATATGAAATTCAACATGCACGATATAAGAAAATATTATATATTGTAGCCTCATTAAAATGAATTGTACCCATGCCATTGGATTTACTACATTCTTTTAAAGGTAAGTGGTTGCTAACAATTTATATGGGCTGAATTAAAACAACCAAATTAAGTCGCTAAATTTCTTTAGTTTGTTTAAATTCAGTCCATATAAATTGTTTGCAACCACTTACCTTATTATATATATATATATATATATATATATATATATATATATATATATATATATATATATATATATATATATATATATATATATATATATATATATATATTGTGGCAGGTTAATGGCCGATGGCTAATAGCTCTCTCAGAAATTGCACATTTTTTGAAAAATAGGCACTATTCTTATAAATAGACTGCACAGTTGCAATCTAAACAACTACATTCTCGAGTAGAACATTATGTTGTCTAACAGCAGTAATATTTGTCAAACTGTAGAGTCAGCCAATCAGATTCAAGAACTGGACAGAACTGTTGTATAGTAATATGTTAAAAATGTTGAAAAAAATATTCTCTCTTTTAAACAGTAGAAATATTTGAAAAAGAATTCAAATTTAAAATGTTGCTTTCAACTTTATTTAAATTATAATGTAAAAATACTATGTAGATAAGTCATACTATAGAACAGATAAGAGAGTGTTAATGTGAGCAAGTCAGGAAATTACTTATTAAATAGTAAAGAACAGAAAGTATTCAGAGTTTATGTAGACTTCTTTAATTGTGCTTTTGCAAACTTTCTTAGGATTAACTCTTCAGAATTTCTAATTTTCTGCTGCACGTGACGCTAACTAAATGTTGACAAAAGTTTAATTTACTTAAGCTCAGTTGTGTGCTTTCTGAACAAATGGAAAACTTTTCTGACCTTTACACATTCACTGCCCACACACTGCCCAAATTATCCAGTGGAGCCGACAGTTCCAGTGTGTGATCACTGTGTCAGGCTGATTTCATGGGAAGTGTGCGACTGCTGCTAATATGGTGGATGCTGTGTGTCTCTGTCACCTCTCAGTATCACAGCTTTTTTTTTTTCACCGTCACAGGGCTTTTTGATCAAATATTTTTTATTCATATGTGTTTTTTAAAATAAGTCTATTCTGACAAGTCAAAATACAGTAAAAAAAAGTAAGACAATTTAAACTGACAGCTTTCTTATTGAATGTAAATTAAAGTTTAATGTATTCATGTTTTTAAATTATAATATTAAAAATAATTTCTCCAGCCTTCATGAATGATGATCTGCTGATCTAAAAAAAATATTATTATTATTATTAATAATAATAATAATAATAATAATAATAATAATAATAATAATAATAATAATAATGATAACAGTAATAATATGAATAATAGTAATAATAATGATAATAAATAATAATAATAATAATTTGTTATTATTTTTTATTATTATTAATAATAATAATAATAATAATATTTTGATATCTCTATTTGTCAAAGAATCCTTAAAAGTAAAAACACAAAAAGAGAGAAAAATAAGCAATAATAATTATTAAAAAGAGTAATTATTAAATACATTTTTTAAATAAGAGTCATTATCAATATTTTTTGTTTATAGCAGAACAGCAAATCAGCATATCATAATGATTTCTGAAGGACCATGTGCTATTGAAGACTGGAGTAAATTCAAAATTTAGTAATAATTTGCATTTAATGGCATTTATTTTAATGTAAACAATATTTCACTGTTGTTGTCTTTTTTTCTAGCTGAAATTCAGCCTTAGTCAGGAGAAAAGACTTTCAAAAAACTGAAAAAAAAATCCTGATATTAACTTTTGACTTTTAATTTACATCCTTTTCGACTCTCTCTGCTAAACAGTGATGTGAATAATGGCGTTACTAACGGAACTACATTTTTCATTAAGAATTAATCAAGCAAATTACTGTTTCTCCAATTCAAAACTATTAGTTACTGACAATACAATGCAACATTATATAATGGATATATAATTAGCAATTTAAGCATTTTTCATGTGACAGTCTGCTCTAATTTGTGTTGCGGGGATAGTGGGGCACATATCCAATGATGATAATGTGGTGTTTGTAGGAGTGGGACAACCACACAACTGATGATGTTTGACTAAGAACACAGGTGATGCTTTTTAAAGGAGGAGATGAAGCCACTGTATTTAGGCAACTAAACTAGTTTGTAAAATGTAAAAAAATTGCAGGGTTCCATACAATTCAGTTATGTTGTCCCAAAACAAATCAATGAAGTTAAGATAACAAATTTGGAACAAAGTGGTTGAACATGAAGCAATTAGGTTTTCCCCAAAAAATCTTAAGAATTGTGTTGTGTTTTTAGATATATAATTTAAACAAACAGCATATATAGGTATTTTTATTTTTTCCTGGATTTTTCTTATTTCGATTTTTTTGCATAATTCTGACGTTAATTCATATTACGTATAAAGTTTAAATTGTACTAACTTCATCACCAGTGCATGACTATAGTTGTTACAAGTCTTGTAATACAAGTGAAAGCACATGTATGACGGTTCATTTACCAGGAAACTAAATTTCAAAAACAAGTAATAATGGAATCACATTTAAATGCACAGTAATTGCACTCTACTTAAGTCAGAAAGCTCCTATGTTCAACTAAATGCATTTGTTTTCAGTTCAACGTGTAATTATTTAACATCTAATAAAAGTCTTCCATATCATGTGATCACTGTGGGTGCAAACTAAAGCTATAGTTAAAACATGAATAAGCATTAGAAGGTACTGTTTGTTGACAGAAATGCATACATGTGTGAAACGTACAGAATTTTTTTATTTTTTATTTTTTGTAATTGCTCAATGTGTTTCAACTGGAAAGATGTTAATATTATTTTTATATTTTACATAGCCTAAGTAATAAAATAATACTTTTAATACAATACCTAAACATTTATACTGATAATATTTACCATAAAGTAACAAATGTCATTTATGTCTCTCAAATTGGTCAAAAACAGCATTAATATATATTATATTTGGTCCCCTTTTATATTAAGTGGCCTTAACTACTAGATACCTACATTAAAAAAAAAAGATGCATTGTAACTACTTCATAATGTATTGCTGAACACTTCTAGTGCTCTTGAGGTGGGATACCGGTTAAGGTTATATATAAGTAAGGTTATATAAGGTAAATGAAAATGGGTTTGGGGGTATGGGTAGGTTTAAGGGTGAGTTAAAGTGTAAGATATGGTCAACGGTGTACTCTTATTATTAATTGTAATAATTATAGCTAATAATTACCTATGTAATTACCTTCAGGCATTTATTAAGTACAATGTAAAAACATTAATTTCCTCAGTAAGTACAATGTAACAAATTGTTTATTTCAGTGTAAATACATTGTAGTAAGGCCACTGATATAAAATATATAAAATAATTGGGGGACTAATGATTTGATTTAAGTAGTTTTTTTTTTCTTTTTTTTCTTTAATTTTTTTTAGTAATGCATAGTTACTTTGCCTGTTAGTTACTTTCATAATGATGCAGATCAGTTACTATGTGTGAGATGTAACTCGTAACTATAACTAAAAACATATTTCTAATTAACTTGCCATACACTACTGTTAACTCAAAATTAATATAGATTACATGCATTCAGTAGTTAATTTTATATTTTATGTGTTATTTTTAAATGCAGAGCCCAGAGAGCCACCTTCAGAAGTGCAGGCATTCGCAGTCTCTTCCTCGGAAATTAAAGTCTTGTGGAAGCCGCCCAGTCCTGGACTTGGAAGACCCCAAGGATATGAGGTTAGAGATGGAGAGATCAATAAAGAAAGAGTTTTGTCCCAAAACCTGATGAGCTGAAAGCATCCGAAAGCCTGTATTAACTGTATAGAGATTTATAATGAGTTCTGCAATATTTGTATCGTTTTAAAGATTGGAATAGATGAACTACCTTTATTAATGTTGATTAATTACACATTCACATTCAGGCATGCATACACACACACATATACAGCTATCTCAGTTTCTCTGGACTTATGCATTTCATTGTACAAAATGTTGGGTTCCGTACAATCCATTTGTGTTGGGACAAAGAAGAAATGAAGTTAACGTTTTAGTTTTTACTAATTTAAGCTGATTGAACCTAAAACAACGAAGTTGTCTCAAGAAAATATCTTAACATAATTGTGCTGTTTCAGCTCATTTTAAATTAGTAGTTTGAACAAGTAACAAAAATATTTTTAAATGTTGAATGAATTGTAGTATTTGCATTATTTAAATTACAATGATGTTTTAACATTACTTGCAGAATAAATTAATGTTTATTAGTTTATAAACATTACAAATGTTTATTAATTTACAAACAAAATAAATGTTATCAGCCAAAATGAAATATTACTTTTACAATTCAAACAAATAAACCCAGTATTTCACAATATTTACAATAAAAAATATACAAATAAATAATTGAATGAATGAATGAATGAATGAATGAATAAATGAATGAATGAATAAATGAATGATTCAAAAATGGCAAAACTGAAAAAAAATGCTAAGCAGTTAAATTGACAAAAAGTAACATACTGTTCTAAAACAACTTGTGTTTTTCTGCCACAAACACACACACACACACACACACACACACACACACACACACACACACACACACACACGTATATATATATATATATATATATATATATATATATATATATATATATATATATATATATATATATATATGAGCAATATCACAGGAGGGTAAAGAGGCTGTAGGAGTTCTGATATTGCAGAATATCGCACGGCTATCAGCCAGTCAGATTTGACAACCAGACAGAACTGTTGTATAAATATATATTTATATATATATACAGTTGAAGTCAGAATTAATAGCCCCCTTTTGATTTTTATTTTCTTTTTTAAATATTTCCCAAATGATGTTTAACAGAGCAATGACATTTTTACAGTATGTCTGATAATATTTTTTCTTCTGGAGAAAGTCATATTTTTTTATTTCAGCTAGAATAAAAAAAGTTATTAATTTTTTTAAAAACATTTTTGGGACAAAATTATTAGCCCCTTTAAGCTAATTCTTTTTTGGATAGTCTACAGAACAAACCATCATCATACAATAATTTGACTAATTACCCTAACCTGCCTAGTGCACCTTATTACCCTAGTTAAGCCTTTAAATGTCACTTTAAGCTGTATAGAAGTGTCTTGAAAATTTTCAAGTAAAATATTATTTACTGTCATCATGACAAAGACAAAATAAATCTGTTATTAGAAATAAGTTTTTAAAACTATTATGCTTAGAAATGTGCTAAAACAATCTTCCCTCCATTAAACAGAAATTGGGGAAAAAAATAAACAGGGGCGCTAATAATACAGGGGGCTAATAATTCTGACTTCAACTGTCTATATATATAAATATATATATATATATATATATATATATATATATATATATATATATATATATATATATATATATATATATATATATATTACTGTAAAAATGTTAAATATTATTTTAATCCATACTTATTAATACATTTAAAATAATAAGCTATCATTAAAAATATATATATTATTGAAATATTTAAAAACCGACAATTTGTTAAAAGGTTTTGACAGATAATGACAGTATACAGATTAAAAATAAAAATAAAAAATGAAAGGCCTTCTTCTAAATATGCCTAAAATGAACTATTCGTTATTAATAATCTACTAATATATAACTATTGATAAGCGATTATTTTTAAAATGTAATTCTTGTGAGAAATGTGAGAAATCTATAATTAAAATAGATCATGTTTCTCAATATGATATAAATGTGCCCTCAATAAAAGTATCACATGGTTAGTTTAGCATTCTCATGATCACCAAATTCAAAAGTCACATCTTTATAGGACCAATATTTGTATAGAAATAGCTCTCAATATAAAATGTTACAAAATAGTCACTTATGTAGGCAACAGACAACAACACAGCTCACTTTAAAGCAGAGACACATTACAAGCCTATTTACACTTTACCTTTCCTCACCATTGTCTTCTCAATAGTCAACAGTTGTGCTTACTGAATGACGAAACAGATTCTACATGGCGAAATTACAGTCGCGGTAGATTATCGTATTTCATCAACAGCAGATATTACATGCTCGTCCATTATTCTCTTCATGTAAAATGCATGATGGTTATTTAAACCAAATGACATGATATTATATCAAATTGGCGACTCTCACTTTGTCATTTATTGAGCCAACTCAGTCTCATATTATTTATCTCTATAAAAATCTTGCATGAATGAAAACGCAAATTGTCTTGTCAGGTGAGCTTCTGGAAGGATGTTGAGCAGGAGGAGTTGGGGAAGAAGAAGAGGACGTTGGGGAATGAGACGAACATGTTGTTGTCAGGGCTGGATGGAAACACGCAATATCTGGTGTCTGTGAAAGGATTCAACAGCGCCGGTCAAGGGCCATCTAGCACAGCCGTCAAGATCAGCACAAAGAAAAATGGTGCGTTCTTTCCGACTGGAAATATGATTAATAAAACAAGGGTTAAATGATTATGCTGAATTCATCTTAAATGAACAGGTGACACTCTGTGGCAGTTTGATTGACAGGTGATCTGGAAAATCATAACGCCGATAATCTGTGCTGATTTTATTCTGATTCGATTCTATTCTGTGACATGCCACGTCATTCACACTAAGGGGAATTTCGTGTAATGGGAAAATCATTCCCTGAGTAAACAAAAGCTAGACATTTGTTCGTCTTCTAACACAATTTAAAATATTTTACATGAAATGCGAGAGCTCCCTCATCCTCCATAAGAAGCAGTGATTCTGAGATGTTTAATCCAACAAAAACATTGTCAAATTCCTCCATGTGACTTCAATGGTTCAACTGTAGTCATATAAAGTTCCAAGAACACTTTTATGTTATATATTGCCATATATATGAGCAATATCACACTCGTAGCAGTGCGATATGGCTGTATATCAGCACTGATGGAAGGCATGCGTTGGCTCGTGACCGCAGGTCGAGTGCTTTAGTGTCCCACCAGTGATGATGATACAGCCATATCGCACTGCTAAGAGAGAAATATTGCGTTTATACAACAGTTTGACGGCACAATCGTGTATACAAAAAAATAAACATGGAGAGTCTCAAAAATCCTTTTGTACAAGGAACTACTTTTTGCCACCATTCATTCACATCGCAAATGATCGTCAGATCAGCAGAAACCATTGCTTAAAAACACATACCTTTAAAGCTAGTATTTGAATGATTCTCTAGCGTAATGTCTAAAGTGATGATGAAACTAAGGTTATTTTGCTCAAATTTAAGATCATCAGTCTACAGAGATTTCCCAGTATTTCTCTGTTGCAATCGGGAGATCACTGTAATTAACCTCAAAAAAGCCAAAACAAAGCTACCAGAATAATCAGATTACTATTGTATAAATGGCCTAATGGTGGTGCAATGGGTAGCACAATCGCCTCACAGCTGGTTCAAGCCTAGGCTGGGCAGTTGGCATTTCTGTGTGGAGTTTGCATGCTCTACCCGTGTTTGCATGGGTTTCCTCCGGGTGCTCCAGTTTCCCCCACAAGTCCAAAACATGCGGTAGAGGTGAATCGGATAAGCTAAATTGTTCATAATGTATGTGTGTGAATGAGTGTGTAAGAATGTTTCCCGGAGATGGGTTGCAGCTGGAAGGGCATCCGCTGCGTAAGAACATATGCTGGATAAGTTGGCAGTTCAGTCCACTGTGGCCACCCCTGATTAATAAAGGGACTAAGCCGAAAAGAATATGAATGAATGAACTATGGTGTAAATGCAGCACTGCAACATACAAAAGAGAAAGATCTATTTAGAATGCCACTTATCTGTTTAATATTGATTTGATCAGCTGTAGTTTGAAATATGAAAAAATAAAACATGAGTTTTTCTCAGCTAAGGACTTATTATGCGGTCTCTGTCTCCATCTTGTGGTGCAACCATCTTTGCTCCGCTCAGTATGACAGGCTGATGGCTGCTGATCTCCGAAATTATAAATATTTAAAATAGGCACTATCCTTATAAATTAACTGCATAGTTGCAATATAAACAACTACATCCTCGCCTAAAAAAATCCTCAAAAGTACATTATGTTTTCAAACAGCTGCAATATTTGTCAAACTGTAGTAAGACTATTGATCTGCTGTCACTCTGGGTGGAGTAAGACAAAAGAGTAAGGAGGTTAAAAGAGTACTGTTATTGCAGAATTTCACATCAGCTAGAGAACCAGACGGAACTGTTGTATTATTATTAATTATTAATATATATATATATATATATACTGTATAAATATATATATATGATTACAGTTCTACTGAAGTCAAATGGAATGTTGTGACAATATTTTTGATGCTTTTCTGGACGTTAAACTCGCAAGACTGTTGCTGTTTATGGAGGAAAAGGGAGCTCTTGGATTTCATTTAAAATATCTTAAATTATGTTTACGAAGACTAACAAAAAAAAAGTTCTCATGGGAGAGTGTGTAGTTAATAACAATATTTTAATATTTGGGTTCATTTTGGAACTATCCTTCAATGACAAAAAAAGATTCTTCTTGTTAAGTACAATATAAATATATTAATCATAATATTATGACTCATAAAAGCATAGCAAAATGCCTTCTTAGCTACCACAACAAGCATTTAACTAAAAACAAATAAAAAAGCATGGAATGGTAGAAACGAAACTGCTGAAATGCTTTTAAAATTTCATTTACAGCTTTTGGCCTACAAATATAGGTCATCCAAATCCTTTTCCAAATAATTACACTAAACATTAAATATCTTCTGACGTAATCACGTCACATCACAGCAGTTTCATGTTTGTTTTGGACAGCTGAAATGTTTGTAACTGGAAACTTGCCGGATTGTGTGGTCAACATTTGTCTGAAGGGATAATTGAACAGAAATGGGATCATATTCATTCATTCATTCATTTTCTTTTCGGCTTAGTCCCTTTATTAATATGGGGTCGCCACAGCGGAATGAACCGCCAACTTATCCAGCATATGTTTTTGGAAGATCATAATAATAAATAAATAAATAATAATAATTAATATTCAAATTATTCTGTAACCATTGCTCATTTCAGACTTTCATTTTCTAAATAAGCTTTTTATCTGTCTCTCTTGTTATCTCTCTCTCTTTTTCTCCAGCCCCAAGTCTACCTCCAGGCAACTTGATGTGGATTCAAGAGGGGAACAATGTTTCTCTATCCTGGGATCCAGTGAAAGCAAGGGACAATGAGTCAGAAGTCATTGGGTACAAGGTTTGTATCGCACAGATACTGTGGATGTAAAGGCAAACACAGTGACACTGCATATATCTGATGTCTTTGTTCTCTTTTTCTCCCTCTCCTTTACAGGTATTATTGCGTCAAGAGGGACGTGGCCACAGCCAAGTCATGAGGACTCCAAATTCAGCAGTGGTCCTGACGCTTCCTGAAGGGGGAACATACATCATTGAAGTGCGCGCAGTCAGTGAAGGAGGTGAAGGAGCCGCCAGCGCTCAGGTCAGAGTGCTCACCTCCTCAGGTAAGCAGCGCTCAGGTCACATACACACACTTAACCATTTCACACATAAGTTCGAAATACTCCTGATGACCCCACTGCATGAGTTTTTTATTGTGACTATTATCCAGAACGCATGTCATTAAAGTTACCATGGCGATGCATCAAGTTTATCATGTGACACACCACAGTAACTGTGACTATGTTTACAAGGACATCAGTAATCAAATTATTTGTGTTAATCTGAATTAGACAATAATATGCAACCCAGGCTCATTCTGATTACGTACCCCTATATACATTTCTAGAGAAAGCAAAATTTTCCGCAATCTGCAAAACTTGACACACAACCTTACGTTTCCAGTCTGACGCATTCACGTGCGTATGAATGAAGTCTATTGGGAGAAATGTCTAGTGTGACCACAGCTTCAGTGAGTTGAAACAGGGTTGGAATAAAACTGTGCGGAGCTGTGGCCCTCCAGGAACAGGATTTGACACCTATGTTCTATAGGTAACACTTTACAATAAGGTTCATTAGTTAATGCATTTACTAACATGAACTAATCATGAACAACACATGTACAGCATTTATTAATCATAATTGAACATTTACTAATGCATTATTAACATCCAAGTCCATGCTTGTTAACATTAGTTAATGCACCGTGAGTTAACATGAAATAACAATGAACTACTGTATTTTCATTAATTAACGTTAACTAACATGAATAAATACAGTAGTAGATGTATTGTTCATTGTTTATTCATGTTAGTAAATCCATTAATTAACATTAACTAATGAACCTTATTGTAAAGTGTGACCGTTCTATGCTGTAAGGTTAAAGCACATTTTTCGGAGACCCTCCTCCACCCCAGCTCCACCTGTGTTTAGATCTGCTATGGGGTTACATGCAAAGTATGCTATAGCAACAGTGGGTTATAATTCACACACTGTAAGTCTGTAAATATACTGGCAGTAGCAAGTCTTGATAATAATCAAAGCAGCGATGTAGTATATCTATGCTACCAAAATCAAAAACATTAACAATACCATATACATTTATATTACCATACTAAATCTCTCAGAGAGTTGTCATGATAGAAATTTGTATACTTTCCTTCTCCTCTTCATTGATTTATACAGAATTAATACAGTATTTAAGGCAAGTAAGAAACTGTAATTAAATTACTTAAATATGAACAACAATCCCTTACCCAGGGATGGGTTGCGGCTGGAAGGGCATCCGCTGCGTAAAAATGTGCTGGATAAGTTGGCGGTTCATTCTGCTGTGGCGATCCCGGATTAATAAAGGGAATAAGCCGACAAGAAAATGAATGAATGAACAGCAATCCCTTTCTTTACTTTTTTAGTGGAAACGTAACTTAATACAGCAATTGCATATTTTGTAAGTGCACATAAATGACTACACAAACACTGTGACCCGGCCTGTATTCAATGCAGCTGGTGGAATAATATTTACAAGTGATGAAAGTGCAAGCCAGTCTAGACTGTTTCCGATTCAACCCAGTACATGCTGACTCTACATTCTTTCTTTTATATTGTTTAAACATGTTGCACGCTGTCTAGCTCTCTTGTTAACATGCTGCTTAAATGCATTAACTCAGAATGCTTAATGGTTTTTCTCTTCAGATACACAAGAAAATAAATATATTTTTGGTGTACCTCATATATTAGGGACAGCAGGTAAACTTCATTGTAATGTTGAATAGGCTACATCTGGTCAGGTACAGGGTGGAACTAAATGAACCCACAGGATTCTGTTCGAAGATTTTGTACACAACCGATTTTCAATGGCGTATGCCTTGCACCGATTGGTTTATATCTGATCTGTCTGATTAAATGGCAGACAAAATCCATGATTCATAGTACAAATGATTAATTTCCACATATTAATGAAGCCTGAATCAATCAATGTGCCTTTTTTCCTGTTTACACAGTCAATGTTCATATAAAATCCGTGCCACATTGGAGTAAAAATGTTCTCAAAACGGGAGCACTGTGTTAATTTCAAGGTCATCTTTAAACTAGTGTGCTCCAAAACAGAGGCACAATTAGCATTTAGAAGATCATACAATTACAAAAAAATGTTTGTTTGTTTTGTTAGATTTTTTTTTTTTACATCAACCACAACTTTTAATCAGATGTTTTGACCAATCGGATGCTCTAAAACAGTGGTTCTCAAACTGTGGTACGTGTACCACTAGTGGTACGCGGGCTTCCTTCTAGTGGTACGTGGAGGAATGAAATATGTCATGTACATGCTGAATACATTTCAAAATTTATCAAAAATGATGTGTATAATATGCCATATATGACATATAGCCTATATTTCTGAGGTAATCTGCCACGTTTTTTTTTAACTGTGCAGAGTTGTAGCTGCTTTACTGGGCCTACTACACTACTAAATTTCAATACTGCTCATTTTGGTGGTACTTGGAGAGAGAATTTTTTTCTGAGGTGGTACTTGATGAAAAAAGTTTGAGTACCACTGCTCTAAAGTATCTAAATCAACCCATCCCCTATATGACATCACTCATTAGCATGTACAAGCGTTCATACCAAGGGTTTGCCTAAACACCTGCATATATGAGAAAACAATATTAGTAGCTGATACAGTGTTGACTACAAGCCCCAAGAGTGACAATACATTCCGCACACATTTTCACAGTTATTAATATTGTGACTGACACATTCTGTAGTTCACTATATAGGGGATAAACAATTCAGACAATGTAAATACACTGTTGGACATTGTATTGTATTTTTTGTGGTAAGTTACTGGCTGCACGGTTGCCAGCAAGTTACCACAACTTTCCCTTTACAGTAACTTACCAGTAAATGTGTTTTACAGTAGAAGGGCCCTGCCACATTATAATTTTACAGTAAAATAGCCTTACTGCAACAGCTTTTATGGTAAAATACCTTTTACCACATTTTACAGTTTTATGATTTTTACAGTACTACAGTTTTACAGTTACTGTAATTTATTTCCGTTTTTATATACATTTATTTGCATGAATTTAATTTAATAAACTCAAAACAAGTGGCTTTTTTATTCATTAACAGATTTATTTGTGTCTTCAACTACAGTAGCAGTACTTGATTACTTTGATTACAGTAGAATACTGCAAATTCCTAAAATGCAGTAAGCTACTCTAAACGTTTTAAACTCTGCTATGGATCAGAGACATTTAAAAACACAAAAATTATCTTATGTGAGAGTTGGTACAAACTAAAAAAACATTTGAATCCATTTTAATTATGTTCTGAATGGCGTATTTATTATGTATATATATATATATATATATATATATATATATATATATATATATATATATATATATATATATATATATATATATATATATGTATATATATTTTTTTATACTGGAGATATAGTCAAATAGACAATATTAAACTATAGACTATAAAATAGACAATACATTGAGCATTGCTATTAAAGTCTGAGTCTGTCATATTCTTTAGATTGCTGGTGAACTACACATATGACACTAATGAACTACAATTCCCATCATGCCATTTCACACACACACCGGTTGCTGTTCACCTCTGATGACTCACACACAGCTGAATCACATCTTCTGGGCGGCTTATACACCGCTCATACACCAGTTCAGAACCGGTTCTTTGTTTGCTATGGTTATATTTAAGTTTTGTTTGCTATTTGTTTTAGCCTAAGGTGTTCTTGATCTTAATTTAATAAATTCCAAACAAGTGACCAATTTATTCACTATCAGACTAATTTGTGTCTTTAACTACAGTAGCAGTACTTGATTACTTTGATTACAGTAGAATACAGCAAATTCATAAAATGCAGTAAGTTACTGTAAACGTTTTAAACTCTGCTATGGTTTAGAGACATAAAAACACAAAATTTATCTTATGGAAGAGTCGGTACAGACTACAAAAACATTTGAATGCATTTTAATTATATTCTGAATGTTGTATTTATTTTTATGATTTTTATGATTTTTATTTAATTTTTTACTGGAGACATAATCAAATAGGCTAAACTATAGACTATAAAATAGACTATAAATTGAGCATTGCTATTATAATCCGAGTCTATCATATTCTTTAGATTGCTGGTGAACTACACATATTACACTAAGGAACTACAATTCCCATCATGCCGTTTCACACACAACTGTTCACCACTCATGACATCACACACAGCCGAATTACATCATCTGGACTGCTTATACACCCAGGGCTTGACATTAACACCCGCCAACCCGCATAGATTTCACCGGACAGACACTCCCACTAGCCACTTTGGCTGGATGAAAACAATTTCCCTGGATAATAATTCTTAAAAGCAGGGTTCGATAATAAGGATGGTCCAATATGCATGCAAAGGCGATCTTAGAATTGAGAAGAAGCATAACTGACAAAAAAAAAAAAAAGATCCTTTCGCTTTAACCATTCTTTTAACAGATTATTCATATACTATAAAACTATGACCCATTTGCTCATGATTATTGTGCAAGCTCATACACGACACACAAATAGTGAAATGAATGAGGAGGCATGTGGAGATAACGCAAAATCTAAATCATGTAATTTTAGCATTTCAAAGTCATATTTATGTGTATAAGATATATTTTCCCAAACAACAAAATTGTGGCTAGTGAAAATGTTGAGTGGCTAGTAATGTTGACTACTAGCCACAGTGGCTGCTGATCAAAAAAGTTAGTGTCTAGCCCTGTATACACCACACATACACCAGTTCAGAGTCTTTGTTTGCATCATCATGTTTTAGTTTTGGTTGCTATTTGTTTATGCCTGACGTGTCTTGTCTTGATCTTAATTTAATAAATTCCAAATGAGTGACTAATTTATTCACCAACAGACTTATTTCTGTCTTCAACTACAGTAGCAGTACTTGATTACTTTGATTACAGTAGAATACTGCAAATTCCTAAAATGCAGTAAGTTACTGTAAACGCTTTAAACGTACCAACAATGCAGTGCATATTAC